ACCTATAACAATGCATGATACAAGCTGGGACCCCTTCTGGCTTTCATCTGAAGGTAGACAGCCTAGATTTTCTTGGACACTGTTAGACCTGAAGACAAATATGAGAATAATGGAAGAAAAATATGTCCGTTGGAATGCCAAAAGACACCATTGTAGAGGAAAACTTGCCAAAGAACCATTATCTCAGACTAGTAAGAAGAAGTAATTTGAAAATCATTAAGTAAATTTATTGGTGCTATAAACCACTTTTTTTGGTTGTTTTTTATAGTTGTATATTGATAAGGGAAATGATACATTGCCACATCCCATGATCTAATAAGTAACAGAACACTGGCAAAACTACCTTGGAGAAGTCCTGGGGATGTGGGCTGACCTCTGGGAGCATAGATAGATTAAAAGTAGCCTTGCAAATTCCTGGAAACAAACTGTGCTTCCTCAGAGTCAGGGGTCAACCAGCAGATATCACAATTTGGGCATCAAACATGACCAGAGACCCAGAAAGAGACCCCTGAGGATCAAAGGACTTCTGATAGAGATGGAACTATGGAAAACAGGGCAATGAATATACATCCAGCAAGTGAGGATACCTGAGAAATATGAAAACAATATGTGTAACAAAAAGCCTTACTTGCCCATCTTTTGTTACACAAGACTAAAGGAAATCCCTCCTCGTGTCTATCAAGTTGTATTGAAGAATGCATTCTTTCTTATACTTAAAACTGTGTTAAAATTTTTCTATCCAGCTGAGTTCAGTACCAATCAATATAAAGGATTTCTTTGAAACAAATTAAAGTAGCTGGTTCTACCTTCAGCAACTTGCTGTTACAATAAAAGCAGACTCTATCTGGCAACTCAATTTTACAAAAGCACAATAAAAAGAGTAACATTTATTGTTAATTCTTATTGTTCCCCTGCTTAAAGTAAGAAAGCACAGAATGCAAAAAAATGCAGTGATTTTACTAGCAAGTTTCACCCTAAAATTCTATTCCAAAAAGAATATAAATTTGTGATATGTTCCTTAGTATATGTTTAAAATAAAAAAATAAAAAATATATCAGTAATATATATATTAAATATATATTTAAAATAAAATGCATAAGGTTGAAAAAATAATGCTAAAAATTATGGGATTTCTCAGTCCTTTCAAGGCATTTTGGCAAAATCTTACACAGAAATATAATAAAATAATTAATGATGATAAGCATTTAGTGCAGGAATACCATGACAAAGACAATACAGAACAGAACAGAACAGAACAGAATAGAATAGAATCGAATAGAATACCAGATAGTCCCTGCCTCTGTAACTGCACAAGTACAGGAAGTGCCATTCCATGTCTCCTCTGGGGCACATCTATGTGCAGCACCAGAATTCCATTTAAAACCTGGTTTTATTTTTCAACTTTCAAAATATTCCTTACCTTCACACTGTAGATACCCCTTTTATGTTCAAGAAATCATACTGTCTTTTTCACAATTTTCTTTAAATAAAATAGCTCAATTAGTTTTGTCCAGAACTAATGAAGACATTTCAAATAACAATCATGTAGACCTAAATAGCTAGATTTTTAAAGGCACCTATCTAAAAAGACACTCAGCTGCATTCTAAAAAGCAGTCAAGTACGTAAATATAAAACACATAAATACATAATACATAAATACAAAATACATAAATATAAAACTAATCACCTTTTCTTAGAAAAATTTACAAAATGTATCTGTAAATTCTTTGCAGAGCGTATTTTGCAGTGTTTTGCAACAGTGTAGTTAATTAGTTTGTGTATCATCAGGAGAAGAGTCATTAGAAGGGATTTAACTTTTTTTTTAATTGATTACTCAAAAAGATTTCTGATCTATGCAAGGGTAAATATAGACATATTTGGACAAAGGTGTCCTCAGATAGCATAAATAATAGAGACTAGAACATGATTTAGAGACCTAAAGAACTGGATAGTTTCAGGGTTTAAGAGCTTAATGTGGCTTACAGGGGCAGCAGGCAGCATGCTCCTTGGCAACCTCCTATCAGAACAGATAACTGTGATCACGTCTAATGTCTTAATTTCTCAAAATAACTGAAAGTCATTCCACAAATACTTTATAAAGGATGAAAATGAAAAACTTGAGATTGGTTACAGAGTGTTGTTAACAAATACCAAGGTTGTGAGTTTGATGTTTGTATGGATCTTTCACTTAAGAATTAGACCTGATGATCCTTGTTGGCCCTTTCCAACAAAGAATATTCTGTGATATAGACAGACTGACAGAGGTGAGGGAGAAGGAAATAGATGTATTGACCTTTGGTGCTACAAGTATCAGGAACCATATAATGACATTTTAGTTCAAGCAGCTAAACAAGAAAAATAAAGACTATACGTAGCTCCTAAGAGCCTTTCTCTGAATTATGGTTTCATTTTCTGATGAGAAAACCCTCTCAGACATCCTTGACACTCAAATAATTGTGAAAAGTAATTTCTGTGCTATTCTTATTAATCTGCAAAGTCTGTTTTATGGCACTCAAAAAAAATTTGACTATTTTTGTTTTTCTCAGAGGCAAAACTCAGGTAAACTCCCTTATTTTTAATGGACAATTTAACTGTCTCAGGGCCTTTCACTGACACTCAAATTCTTTCACTTTTTAGGTGTAAGACAAGAAAGTTCCATATTCCTTTTGTAAGTGAAAAAGGTTCTACAATTTAATTCAGAATGGGGAAATAAAACCCTAAGGCACATCTTTCAACAGCTGCCGTATACCATACTGATCACAGAACATCACAATTTTTTAAAAATTCTGTTCCCTGTCTTTGTCTCTAACCAATAAATTAGACAACAATTAATGACAGTCAGGGATTCTAAAAAAATCTAAAAATGACAACCAGTTTCCACACACAGGTTTGAAGTTACACCATACTTCATGAAAGAATTCTCTACTAGCTCTCTTGAAGTAAATTTTTGCATGCAAACTTGAAGTGAAACCTGACTTGAATACTGAACAAATCTCTGCATTTCAATGATTAAACAACCCTCCCACCCCCAAACCAAAGAAGCAAACAAATATTCAAGGACTTCAATAATTCTTTTTGTTTCAAAATAAGGAACATAAATTGCTCTACTTTTTTTGTTTCTGTCTGAAAACTCAAACACTATCTTAATCTGTTGATTATTAAGAGCACTACCTACTTCTCATTTAGAAAAAAAAACCTTTCAAAATACAACTTTCCCCACCCAGCACTATGACCCTTGGTTTTAAGGACCAGTGGTCATTAAGTTGATTTTAAGGTAGTTTTGCCAAGAGAGTATTTTAAAATACTAATATTGTCATGCCCTAGTTTCTACTGACCAAGGCAATCCTCTTTTCTTTTCCCCTAGTGCTTTGCATCTGACATGCAGTTTACCACACTGTATGTCATCATATCCCCCTTAAGTGAGCAACCCAGCACTGTTAGACTTTACATAGTCCATGCATCAAGGACATTTCTGCAGGACAATTTAACATCAGTGCTGTCTTTCTAAGAAATATTCTTCCTTGACTTTAGTGAATATAGTATTTTCTTATGTCATATGTCCCTGTGCTGCAAATAAGTTGCTTTGACTTGTCAAGAGAAAGTATATCTCAACAGAATTCATAGGATAGAAGCAGGCTGATGCACATTGGCAGTGATAATATTGAATCAGTCAAGCTCTGTCAAAGTCATAAAGCTCATAAAAAGCCATCACAGAAGCTTATTCATATGCTCCATCTCTCCAGCACCTTCAGCAAAATCTGTTGTTGGTATAATCTGAAACATTATTCCCATTAAAAGACCTATATTTTTTCAAGGGGGAGACAGGTAATAGTTTAATGACTCACATGCTACTTAAATTGGTTTTACACTTTCCAAATTCAGACTAATTGTGTGACACAAGATTTTGAGTCTGTTTTCTCAATTAATGAATCACTAAGCTTGTTAACTTGTTAATATGTTAACATATCACTGTTTTTCCATTATTTGTATGTGATTCTATATGACCCAATACAATTGATACAATCTTCTTGGCGCCATTGAGATTTACATTCTCTGATACCAGGAATGCAATAAATTCCTCCCCCAGAGCTCTGGTCACTGCTGTCTTCATCTGGATAAGATAGTTTACAAATGCAGGAGTCTCTAGCTATTTTTTCTTCAGTCTTTAGGTTATACAAACAAAGGCAGTTTTTATTTTAATACTATGCCATAACCTAACATATATGTATTATACTACTATTTCTAAATTTCATCAATAACAAAAATAAAGAAAACTATATTAATACAACAAAATTTCTTATTCTTATACACATAACATTCATCTTAATATTTGCGAAAAGCCAACAACATAAACTGTATCTATAACAACTGGACCACAGCTGAAGCAAAAATTAAGAGTTTTCAGGACCTGACAATTTCCAAAACATCTTTTTGCTTATTGTTGAGAATCGTTTTGCTTATCTGCTGCTGGTGATTCGGTGGCATCGGAGGAGCAGCTCGGGCTGTTTCTGTGGTGCTGCACATTCGATGAACGAGACATCTGAGACTGCTGGCTGTGCGAGCGGGGTGTGCGGCGAGCTAAGCGGGAACACATCGGGCCACCGGGGCCGCAGCTTCGGTGTCAGCAGGGACAGCTCTGCCGTGGGGAAGTGGCTGCCAGATAAGCTCATAAATGGTCACTTTGGGAAGTTTCCTTAAAATTTCTGCTCTCACTGAAGTCAGGTATAAAATTTCTGTTCTTTTGTACATAGAATCAGGGTAAAACAGAGGACTGGTTAAAAAAAAAAAAGAAGTACCCCGCCTTAAATTTGTGACATTCCAAGTGGCCCCTCACTCGCGCCCAAGGGCCACTGACCAACCACAGAAAAAGGGTGTCGCCCACGAAAGGGATGGAGCGGCGCGGAGAGGCAGTGGAACGGCTTCCGCTTCCGGCGGCCGCACTGACGGCGGCGGGGCCCGACCGCGCTGCGCGGCCGCGCTGGGCGGGAGGCGGGGGGAGATGCAGCCGCCGGCGCTGCCGCGACTCCTGCTGGGGCCGCTGCTGGTGTTGCTGGTGCTGCTGGAGGCCGCCGGCTGCGGGGAGGCTGCGGCCCCGCGGCCCCGAGACGCCGCCACCGCTTCCCTGCGCCCCACGGAGGAGGCCGGTGGTGCCGCCACGCGGAGCAGCAGCAGCAGCAGCAGCAGCAGCCGCCTGGCCGAGGTGTCAGCGCCGCCCGAGCAGGGCCAGCCCATGACCCAGCGCGCCCTGTCCGTGCTGGTGCTGGCCAGTGCCGCCCTTATCGTCTACTTCGTCATCCGGACCGTGCGGTGAGGGTGGGGAGCGGGCGCGGGGGGCGCAGCTGCGCGGCCGGGGCTGCTGAGGGGCTGGCGAATGGCGGCCGAGTGCGCCGGGCAGCTCCGGTGCCGCCTCCCCGTGTGGGTGGGGAGCAGCTCGGGCGGCTCAGCCGCATCACCGAGAATCGCACATCACTGTTGGGCCTTTCTCGACTCCCTCCTGTGCTCTCCCTGTGAACTCGACGCTGCTGGCGTCTGTTAGCCCACCTAAATTTATTTTGTATGTTCTTATTCAAAAATGTGATTTTTGACCAGTCTGCAAACTTCTGTATTGCTAAACTACAAAGTTGTTCTTTTCCTCCGCTTGTGTCTTTTTACGGAAAGGGCTCCTATAAAACTTGCTACTACTTAGCCTTTATGTTTCTCATGGAAACTATTCTCCACATAACTTGATATGCTTTTGCAGTTAAGTACAGTTTTTGTCACTTCTTGTGTTTTTTTTGTCTTGGTAGTATTACTTCTCTCTCATGCTTTAACGACTTTGATTCTTCAGAGCGAGGCCCAAATGTATGATTATGCATAAGGCACCTCAGTTATGGAGCAAGTTCTCCATGTCCTTTTCATTTCATTTAGATACACCCATTGTGTCTAGTACCTGCATCATATAGTTTAGAAAGGCAGTTGAATGACTGTTTTGTGTATGTCATGTACTCAGATATACAGTCCAAGTAAACTAGGACATTTTGATTTTTCCATATGTTTTATAAATCACTCTTGAGAAGCCTTGAGGGCACTTCTCAGTGTGTCTTGTAACACCAGCCCGTTGGGTTTGGAGATGTGAGTAATACTATGGAAAGGCCAAATAAATAAATAAATAAATAAAAAGTCTGTCATTACAGGAGCTGGAGAGGAAAATTATCATCTATTACCATTATTTTCTGGATGAGTGGTAACTACCCAGTATTCTGGTTTTGGCAGTAGGATGCTGTTCTGCATTTGCAACTGGAGCGCTGTCTTCTAGGTGCTACTGTAAACTAGGAGCTTAACACTTGACATTATTCTGTAATTCTGCTGCATCTTGCTTCTGAAATTTGGAATAGGTAAAGTGTATGTTTTTGAATTCGAACTTGTAGCTGAAATGTTTTTGTAGTGGTTATATAAGAAATATAAAGATAAAGTGCTAACAACCCATTTTTTGGATAGGTTTCCTTGGCATGAAGACATATCTTGTTAAAACATAAAAACTTTTTGCAAACTTTCTACCAGGTTTTCTACCCAGCAGATAAAGGGAAGAAAGTGACTGTAGTGTTTCTGGATTTTAGTAGGGCTTTTTTGAACAGCTTTTTATGCTGTTCTTCACAGTAGCTGTCTGGACAACCTCTCCAGTTGTGGGGTGAGCAAATTAGTGGTGCACTGGTAAAAGAGATAACTGAATGACAGGGCTCATAGGGTTGTAGTAAGGAGGGGTGCATCTGGGTGGCACCCTGTCACCAGTGTTGCACATCAGCGCTCGGTTCAAGGGCCAGCTCTGCTGAATACTCTTATCTGGAGACAGTAGTTGAATGCACCATTAGAAACTTTGCTGATGACACCAAGATGAGTGGTGCAGTTGGCTCTCTCAACATGCAAGAGGGCTTGCAGAGGGATCTAGATAGATTGGAGCATTGGGCAATTACCAGTGGCAGGACATTTGACAAGAACAAATGCTGGGCTTTGCAGCTGGAACAGGAACTGGACACTAGTTTTACTTGGGAGAGAAGTGACTGCAGAGTAGTCATACAGAGAGGGATCTCAGGGTGCTGGGGGACCTCCTTGCTGGGCAGCAAGCTCAGTGTGAGCCAACATGTGCCCTGGCAGCCAAGAGGGCAAACTTCACCCTTGGATGCACCTCACACAGCACAAACAGTCAAGATTGTCCAACTGTACTCAGCATTGTCATGGCCTTCCTGTGAGTAACTGTGTGCAGTAAGGTTACTAAGGCACTTAAATACAACCAGACTAGGGCAACCAAGCTGGTGGAAGTGCTGGAAGGCCTGTCCTCTAAGGAGCAGCTGAGTACTCTGGGTTTGTCTACATTGGAGAAGGCAAAGTCTGAGGGGTGACCTCCTTGCTCCCAGTAGGTCCCTGAGGAAGGAGATACTTACCCCTTCTTGCTGAGATCCATCCATAGGGTGCATGGGAATGATTCAAAGTTGCACCAAGAGAGGTAAAAATTGGACATTAGGAAGCATTTTTTACTGGTAGGGTGGTCAATGACTGGAACAGGCTTCTTAGAAAGGGGCTCAGTGTTTAAGAGGCATTTGGACAATACCCATGGTACCATGCTTTAGATTTTGGATTGATCAGGCTGAGTCAGTAGTAGTCATAGGTCCCTTCCAACTGAGCAGTTGTCAGTCACAGCATAAAAGATTTTAAGTTATTTTTGTTGACAGTCAGGACACTGCCTTAGAGGCATGGCTGTGATGCATGTTGTGTGAGCATCTCCAGTACTCCTGTACTGTAGGTTTTTAACTCCGTCTTACATAGAGAAGGGTTTGAGTCGCAAGTGATTAGTGTATCCTTTTTCAACAAGATTTGCCTGAATCTAAAATCTGTGCCAGCTTTGTGAGAAGTTCTTTTTGCATTATCTACAATGCAATTACCTGCAATTATCTAGATGTTTGCTATGACTGTCTTAGGTCACTCACAAATCACAGCTACTCATTTTCCGTTTTAACCCATTAAGGAAAAAAGGTATAATGTAAAGTAAGATTGGTAGAAATACTGACTTTACGAGTAGCATGTACTGCCTCTTCTTTATTTCATATTTTTGTTGTGTTTTAAAAGTTTATTGTCTGCTAGGATATCCACAATGCTTGTCATAGTCTCAATTGCTTAGCTTCTACTGTAGTGAAAACCAAAAGGTACAATATGTAAGAAACAACCCTAATTTTCATCACACTGTCATCTTAAAAGTTTTAGAATTTTTTTTAACCTGGTGCTTTGAAGTGTGTGGCTTCTTTCTGTATTGAAGAGTTAAGAACAGATGAAATAAATTAAGAACATGGAAAGGACTTTGTCTTGAAGTGAAAGGTGAAATTTTTAGTTTTGGTGCTAGCCTTAGCTTTAAATGAAAAAGTTGGCAATTTTGTTCTGGGCTAAAGCACTTAAATGCCTGGGGGAACAATTGCTGCATTTTCATATCATAATTGAAAGTGGAGGAAATGGTCATGTTGATTATTTCTTATAACATTAGAAATTGGAGAACCTGGAAGAAGGGTATGTACTTTATCTCTTTCTCATTCTTACAATGTTACTTTTGCTACTCCATTTCAAAAGGAAATATGTTTTATACATTGGAGTGTAGTGAAAAGCTTAACCAAGATTGAATGCTGTTGTGTGTTCTTTCAAGAAGGGTATTTAAACAGGTTGTTTAAGTACACTTGGGTTTCAGGACAGAATTTGAAGCTGAGAATCTCAGCATTGTATTTTATATCTCTTACAAGAAAGTAAAAATGGTGCCTAAATGTGGGACAGAGAAGTCAGAATGCACAGTATACAGTAGTATAATGTATTATACATAATCTGATAGCAGTACTATAGTATCATAGTATATTCATATTTTTTTTAGTAGCTCAGAAATATTCTGTGTTGAAGTTCCTAAATGTTGTAAACATGTTTTGTAGGCACCTAGCTTGTAACTTCTGGAGTTTCTAAATGAATGACCTTTGCTTTTAGCACTAAGTATCTAGACACAAATTCTTTTTTTTTATGTCCTATAGCTTTCACGTAGTTGTTTGCCAGTTACTGAAAGTGACTCTGTCAGCATTCTGTAAATGTGCCTTTGCACAGTGTTTGGTGAGTGGCTATTGGTCTGAGTTCTGGAACTTGAGCAAGGCTTGTTCCATGGGTTAAAGAGTACTTCTGGAAAGCCAAATGGAATGGTTCATTTTGTAGGTGATGCACACGGGACCCAGGCCCATGCAGCAAAGCTGTGGAGAGTGAGAAAACCAGATGCAGACAGTCTGCTTTTCTGTGATAAGCACTGTGCCTTAATCCTGAAACATCAGTCACTGCCTCTTCCTTCCGTGCTTTGTGAAGCATACAAGACATTGGCTCTACAAGATGTCTTTTTCTAAAGTGTAATTATAGATGATTTTTTAAACTTGATGTCTATAAAATTCTTCACAAATGATAATAAAAATTTCTAGTGTCAACCGTGACTTGTGTTACAAGTTACAGCTTTGCTATTGCTTTGTTTGGTTTCTGCCTGATTTGACCAGCTGTTTTTTATAAATGCATAAGACACATAGAGAATATGTAGCAAGGCAATTTTTTCTTAGTAGAAGTATGCTAGAAGTATGATGTATTTTTATGTGGCTTTTATATGCTAAATGCCATTTTGTATTCACTACATTAATCCTGCACAAAACAGGACACTCTTAATGGCCTTAATCAATTAATGAAAACTGTTGACATTTAGAATTTTCTGACCTCTAAATTCATAGAGCTAAGTGTGTACACTTATCATTAATTTTAGAAACTTACACAAAGTATCAGTATAGCAGTATTTTACATTATTGAATCAGAAAATAGGAAAGATTTACATTACTTGAATATTTTAAAATACTTTTCAGGCTCAGAAGGCAAAACAGAAAAACCCGAAGATATGGAGTTTTGGATACAAACATAGAAAATATGGAGCTGACCCCATTAGAACAAGATGATGATGATGATGATACGCTATTTGATGCCAGCCATCCTCGAAGGTTTGTATTTAGAACCTGAATGTACTTATAGAACTGAAGGAGTGTGGGTGATAAGCAGTTTCTCTGAGAAAGCTCACTACTGTGTTTCATATGTGTAGTTGGAGAAGGGATGTCAAGATCACTTGAATTTTAAATGGGCAAGAATTTAGTGGGCAAGAAGATAAACACCATTTGTCTTCAACATGTGAGTTCCAGAGAAATGGAGAGGAAGGTAGGATATTTTTGTTACAAATACAGTGTCATTGAAGCTAATGTTAAGTCAACAACTAGCTTTTACCTGTCTTTTTTCTTTTTTTTTTCCTAATTTGAAGGCTCCAGTTTTTCTTGTGTATTCTCACCTATGAGTTCTGCTTCAAGCAGCTTTGCTTTGTTCTGCTTTCTTATTGCTAAAGTAGTCAGCAGTTAGTTGATGATGATCCTGCACCACGTTTTACATTCGGTACTGCTGCACTGAAAAATTCACATTCTTAAGCTACTCTGAATCTTTGTAGATACAGGAAAATTTTGTTGTATTTCTTGATTGTGTTTAACTTTTATTCTGTTTCCTTAGTGTCTTTAAACATGATCAAATTCAAATCAATTAAATTTATGCAGTTCACACTTATATTTTTTCCTTATTGAGCAATGCCATCACATTGCACATGCAAAGATACAGTAAAATAATTGATGGGATTGTCATAGTTCATAGTGAAGACTGTCAGAAGAGATCAGATTAATTCTTCCAGTAACAGCAAGTAATTGATTCACATTTAATGTGAAATCAGATTCAAATCTCAAGCAAGACAGTTTGATGAATGCAATACATGATGGCTCAAATGAATTAAAAGTATTGGAGTAGTAAGTCAGGTGTTCTACCATTTATCAAGAGGAACTTTTGAAAAGAAAGATTCAGTCTGCTTTGTCTCCTTAATGAGAATCTTTCTGATTTAATTTTTTTTCATAAGTCAAAGCCTCTTTTGATTTTTTTCTCCCCCATACACTAGATTAAAGTAGCTAGAGTATCTCCACATAGCATTCCTCTGTATTTTAGAATTATGCGACATTTAACATTATGCTATATTACTAGTCTTTTTCCAGTGTATGTATACACACACAGACACACACACACACACACACACATAAATATACATATGTAAAATGTGATAGGCAATTGTCACATTATACCCAGGAATTCCCTCAATGTCTGCTTTAAATCTTTTAGCTTCTGTTGTAATTCAGGATACTTGTTAGACGTTTTGAGGTATTTGATGACCAGTTAACATGATACTCAGATACATGATACTGCTTATTTACAGGAGGATCAACTATGTTTTTTAGTAGGAAGTAAAATGGATTTATAGCTAGTCATCATTAACAAACAGTATTACACAATTCTAAGTTTCTGAGAGTATGTTTCTGATTTTTCTTCCTGCCTTTTCCCTAAACACTTTATCTTGAGGGAGAAGAAAATTTTTTTGAAGTATTTCATTGTAGAAGTATCTAAACTGTTGTTTCAATAGCACTCTGAAAGTATGTGTCTAAATTATTGAAATCCTTGTTTTGATACTGGAAACTCAGGAAAACAAGGACTTCAGTCAAATTTAGTGAAAATAGTGAATTTTCTCTGGTTTTGTATATTGATATCTTCCTGTGTTCTCTTTTATGTGGAGAACTTAAAATTTTAAGAGCTACTTTTTATTTTGAAATAGTGTTCATGTGTAGGTTAAAAGCAGTGCTGAACAATCCACAAATCTCTGTAAAACAGCTGTATAAAATGGTGTTCAAACTTTGCAAAGATAAGTCATTGCTGGGAGGGTAGTTTGAAAATTAGAGTACTTGAATTATTTCATTTTTTTTAAAATCTTGATTGAGAATGTGCTTCTTAATTTATTACCCCTTGTTTCAACTTGTTTGCATCTGCATTGAAGCTTAATAATCAGTCATCATGTTACTGCTTGAGCACAATGACCAAAGGGAGTACAAAATGCCTAAGTAAGCAAAGACAACTTGGTGCTGAGGACAACTTCATGAAAGTGATGCATATTCTCGGGAGATGTCATTACACTTTGTTCTGACATTTGTAGTAATTCAGAGGTATGGTTGATTGGGATTTTTAAAGGTAGCTTAAATATATAGCCAGGCCTAGAGCATGGGAAAAAGGAAGAGAAGCTCTTAGTAGGTTTTTGAGTTTAGTGCTTTGTTAAGTGAAGAACAGTTGCAGTTTTACTTAACTTAGACTCAACAATTGAGTCTTACTTAGTGCTTAAGTTTCTTTCCCTTGCAACTCATAACAGAAGGCACCAAAAAACTGAATGCAGTTACAGGGAATTCTTATTTCCGTGTTCATTTGCATTTGTTATTGACATCAAAATAGTCAAGTTTTGGTATATATATATGTATGTATGTATGTATAAAATTATTGTTTTATATATAAAAATATGTCTTTTTTCCTAATTTCTTTGGAACCTGTTAAAAGACTGTAGTGGCACTTGGTTTGATTTAATTTTTCTTGTTTGAAGCAGTCGAGCTTTTTTTAAGATGATATTCTACAAAATAGTATGCCTATATTAGAAATCCTTATAGTCTGATTTTGGGTTAGCTGGTAACTGTATTAGACCCTTCGCAGAACTAGACAGAGAAACTAGCTTCTCTCCTAAAAATCACCACAGTAGTGTTAGTATACTGGTGTCCAGATACATTACTTCTTTCAAGAGCTGCTGTTTTCTTTCAGAACTGTATGAAAAAAGGTCCCCAGTGCCCTGAGCTGTAACATAGACACAATTTAAGTATATTCCCACTGTCATCATCACCCATGTCACTAGTCTCTGTGCTGCTGATGTTTGGGGCAGTTTACCAAAACAGTAGGTGTTTAGCCTATTCTATTTAGCTATTTTTGCTCAATAGCTTACTATTAAATGCCCAAGTGTGAAATTCTAGCCCTTGGTCTCTCACAATACAGTTTTACACACATGCTGTCTGAGGAACAGTATTCTAATACTACATCTTTGCTTTTCAAAATTATATCATACTAGTAGTTTGCAATCCTCATTGAATGACTTCACGCAGAAACTGCTTGCTCAGTGCTGCAAGGCACAAGGGGAAGAATTTACTTTATTTTCTTACAGTATTCTGTAACTGGAATGCTACCAAGACTTGCCAGAGTTTCAGTAGGAACTCGGGAGCGTTGACAGTTCAAAAACATATTCTCATGGTAAATCCCTTTATATTTTTGTAAGTGAGTTGTCTCTCTATTTGGAAAGGTTAAATGAATGTGGGTTTATGGCACTTTGCTTCACAGTAATATGGTAACTAAGAGTTTTTCCAGTCAATTTTAATAATAAAATGTCATTTCTCTCTGGATTCTTTCATAATGTGTGATCTTTAAAAATGTAGGCTAAACTCACCTTGAAACAGGGCATTTCAGATTAATGCATCTGTTTCTTCTGTTGTAGAGAAGTACGTGCCTTTCAGTGAAAGAACTTAATCTTAGAACCAGAGAAGGAGACTGCTTCATGGGAGAAATAAGAAGCAAGAGGGTATGCGAGTGGGGGGAACTAATTTAATTTGTGTATTTTATGGCATCCTTAATATCTTGCAATAAGTAATGTATCAATTTGTTGTATCTTTTTTGTATATAGAGATTCTCAATGTATAGCCTATGGGGAGAGAATACTAACTGCACTAAGATAAAAAACCTATTTGGAAGGGAGATTACTTGTAAAACAGGCTGTTTTTTGCTTGTTACAAATCTTGTATGCCATTAAGTATGGTATACACTTTTTTTCTACAGTAACCTGGAATGTTAATTTTTCCTTCTGATATTAAATTGTAAATAAATATAGCCACAGTGGACTTCTCTGAATTGTTTGAACTTGATTTTAATTGAGGAGATGATTTATTGTTTACCAATAAAAAGCCAAACTACTGCCTTCTGTGTTGAGAATTTAAAAAGCTGAATTAACATGTTTTGTGTAAACTTCAGTGAAAAAATAAAATGTGTTTACAGTGTTCCTAGCATTTACTGTGATACTCCAACATTATACATTTTAAGGATACTTGAGATATTAATATAATTATGTAAAACATGGTATTGCAACATCTTCTTGCTGTTAAGACTCCCGATTGCAACTGTTGAGTTAATTTTTCTTGAGGTCTGTCTTCAGCTTGTGTGAGCAGATGTGGTTCAGTGACTAGGGTGTTGCGGTGTAATCCACATGTTGTCAGTATTCAGACCTGTAGTGAAACAGGGATTAGCCTTTGGAAAAATTCTAAATGTTCTGTAACTCTAAAATGAAACATTGGCATCAGAAGCAGCTGTTGCTGAAATGTGTGGTAATACTCACATGAATGTAGTTGACATACAGCAGTTATATTTATTTTTGTCTAGGCCCACAAAAATTATTAGAACAGTCTTTAAAACCTGGAAGATATATGTTTTTTAATGTGTTGCAGTTTCCACTGTAACTTTGATAATGTAGACAAAAATGTTAAAATTCTAGTTTATAATTAATGTATATTTGTTGCTAATTCCATATATCCATAAATATCAAGGCATAAAGTTGCTACAGCAGTATTGCTGGGTGTGACTGTATCCTCAAAGTGCCAAAGTTGTGGGCTACAGAGAAAGGGGAATAATTTTTCCTGATTCTTCATCCTCTTGGTGTTTGAACAAAATTGGAATACTTTTCTTTGAGGTTATTCCTACAGTGACTGGGTGGGGAGGGAGTCTGCTGTAGATTTTCTTTACCTCTACTGGCTGATTTGTTATGTTGAAACCTTTTTGATATAGTAACAGCTCAGATGAGGTCAAATCAGCCTCCCAGGGTCATTTTTACCTATGGCCGGTGATGTGCCACACACAGCTGGGAAATAGATTGTATTTACAATAAACACAAGTCTTTATTTTGCGTCCTGTTGTATCTAACTTTTTCTGCTTATGTTTAAAGATAAAACTGAAATGAAAACACAGCACTAATTCTTGGAGCTGCTTAGTTGAGGAATCTGGAGACATAGTAAAGAATAGGTTTTAGGGTAGTAGACTGCAAGGTGAGAGAACAGTAAATGATAGAAGGCAAAGTATATATCAAGGGGACTGTCAGTGTTAAACTAAACATACTTGAAATCTTTCAGAAATACAGACTGTCTTCCTGACATCCTAGAATTTGTACCTGTAAAATCTTTCTTCTTTGGACTTTGACCCACCCTGAGGATGTGTTGTGCTTGTTATGCACAGTATTTGAACTGTTTAAGCAAGTTAAAATCACTGGAAATGCAATCAGTCTTTAAGCTCTTGTATGTGCTGCAGGTAAACCTTGATGTTTTTCTGCAGATAAAACAAAATGGAGCAGGTTATTTATGTTTCCAAGCAAATTTTTTGGTGGGGAAAAAATCCAACCACAAATATTCTCAAAAATTTTATTTAGACTTCTTTTATCCTTGCCTCCAAAATTATGAGGCTCTATTTACGTGTGAAGCATCTATAAAGCAATCATATAATTGGTTATAAATTGAAACAGTTTTGATTTCTGATATGTCAAATACCATGTAGTTGATGGAGCAAGCTTCCTGGGCCTTATTCAGCTTGAATCTAATTTTAGTAGCTGAATTGGTTCTCATTGCATTTGCAGACACAAACTTAGTCAAAAAATAATCATGGTGTTGTATATCATGGTCTTAACAGTTGGAAATTGCAGCTGTGAGTTATGGACATCCCCTCTTGACAGGTACAACACTATCAGTACCATTTCCAACTATGTGCAAAAAGCTGTTCTTGGAGCTGTTCTAACATACTTCTAAAAATTTGGAAAAGAATATGCCACTGCAGATGCCAGTAACCAACCCATGCATAAACTGAACTGAACTTTATATCAAGCTTATTTATCACTTTAAAATTTTATAAAAATCAAGATTAAAAAGATGAAGACAAATATTTATGAAATGTTTAACTGAGTAGCTGTGTATGGAAAATGTTATCCCCATTTGAACTAAAATATTAATAGGCCAGTAAAGAATGTGAGCTGTTCTAAAGCTCCTTGAAGATAGGAGATAGCCCAAGTTTAATGAGAAATAAACTGAGAGAGGCTAGCTTTCTTCTATAACTTGAATTTCTGAAGACAGAAAATGGAATATGGAGAAAAATCTTGGAAGATTGAAAAAAAATGTTATAAGATACTTTTACAATTTTTACAGTATTAAAGCTATTACAGCAAATCTATTACTGTTAGGACTTTGTGACTTTTTTCCTTCACTAGTGTAATTTGAGGCCCAACTTGTACAAGAATATGTAGTTCCTGATCAAATCTGAATGTATTAGTTCACTGCATTGTTAGGATAATGGAGCAGGCACCCTGTGATACCATGAATGGGTCCGAGCATAAGAAATCCATATGACTGAAGAGGCAGAAAGCATTTTTATTTTTCATGTTGACCAGTAGGAGCCTGGAACAATCTTTTAATACGTAAGCCAACTGAAAAACTTGAGTCTCAAAAGACCCAATATGAGTGGACTGCTTCACAGTTTCAGGGTAGACTTCTGTTTGCTGTGGTTGTTGTTTCGTGGTACTATTGATGATGGTGTTCCAAATTGTTAACTCTTAAACCCCTGCAGAATTGATCCAACTCTCTGGAGTGGTGTCCTCTGATGAGATTTTTGTGTGATTTTTCCCTGTCCACAATTACTTGCCATTTCCAAGCGGCTTGCACTCAACTTCTATCTTGAAACATTCTTATTTTAAGAAACAATTAAACAAGAAGATTTCTTTGAGGTATTATCAGGATGGATGAGTAAATTTAAGATTTTATTACAAGCTACAAGGAAGGTTCTTAAATCATGAAATCTTTTTCATGTAATTTCCTGCTTCCTTCAGTTGGGAAAATATGAGCCTATGTTTTTGACGTAAGCCTTTTCAGTGCTTATGGCAGTATGTTTTGCACAAAATGCAAAGCATAATAATGTTTTCCTAAGTGATCTGGACATATGAATCAAAGGCACATTAAGTAAATTTGCTGTTGCAATTAATCTTATCTGAGCACCTGGACTCCCTCAAGTGTAGAGAGACGTTATAGAGAGATCTGAGTAGACTATGGATAATCTAGGTGTATGTAGGTGTATGAAGATTGAAGATTATCCTAGACTAGGATAATCACCAGGAGTATGAAATCTAATAAAGACCAAATGCTGGATTCTCCAGCTGCAACGAGATAATACATACAGACTGGGGGACAGGAGGCTGAAGAGCAGCCCTGCAGAAAGATATCTGGGGATTGGAGTTAATGGCAGGTTGAACATGAGTCAGCAGTGTCCTGGCAGCCAGGTAGGCCGACCGTGTCCTGGGATGCAGCCGGATGAGGGAGGGGCTTCTCCTGCTCTGCTCTGTTTTGAGCATCACAGTATGAGAAGGACAGAGAACTACTGCTTTGTTCAGCTTGGAGAAGAGAAGGCAGCAGGCAAGAGGGCAGCAGAGTGAGAGATGCTGATGTCTGTGCTGACCAGTGAAAGGGCAGAATGGATGTGAATGAAGTTGCGTCCAGCGAAATTCAGATTGGACATACGGCACAATCTGAGTTCAAAAGTTATGCCAGAGTTCTTTTTGATACCTATTAATATCAACCTAGGTAATGGGCACTGTGTTTATCAATGTTCTTCCCTAATCACCCAGTTTCATAGAAAAAAAGACTCATTCATGCTAACTTCAGAAAACTTGGTCCATAAAGACAGAGGATGAAACAGTACATGTTCTCACTCAAGCATTTCATTGCTCATGTTTTAAAGAAAAGTCAGTGTTAGTTGACAGCTGATTGGATCTTGCATTGCATAAAGAAGTACTCATTTTTATGAAACAAATTCTTTATTCTTTCCACAGCTTTTTCTTAAAAAAAGAAAATAAATCCAGCAAAAAGCCTGGAGGTAAGGTAAATGGCATTTATGAGGAATCTTAATTAAACTTCTTCAAGACTTTACATTATTGAAAGGTCTAGATGCCAGGTTTTGAAACTTGAGAGATTTCATGAGGAATATGTTTGCACTGATACTACTCCTTTTACCTGCCTTGGTCATTGTCCAATATGAGGTGTGTGACTGTGTGGATTTCTCTTCAGACCAAACACAGTCATTTTTATTCTGTGCTCTGATAGAGTCCAAAGACCTCTCATCTTTCTAAACAGAAAACACAGTTTTACGAGACATAAATTAAACCTGGTGAATCAAAGCAGACATATATACATTAGCATTTTTTTGTCATGTTTCTGAAAGTTAGTAGTACACTTCCCAGTAAGAAGATTGTTCAGATAAGTGGTAAAATTTAATTCGCAGTTTAACTGTCCTTTCTATCATATCTTTAATTTTGCTTTTCCTGATATGAAATCTAAATCTTGGATTTAGTCATTTTAAGCCTATTTCACTGTAGCTGCAGTTAATGGTAAAAAGAACTTTGTTTTCTTGCAGATTTGCCATTTTCTGTCGAGATAATTATATTGCCTCACCGTCTTGTCTGAACAATTCACCCTCAGTTTCTTTTGTCCTGTATTGGCTTTGCATTGTTTTTTGGTAAGAGGGCATGCTACAGGGGTGGCTTCTGTGAGAAGCTGCTAGAAGCTTCCACTCTATTCAGCAGGGTCGATCCCTGGTGTCTACAGAGATAAACGTGATGCTGGCCAAACATGGGCCAGTTAGAAATGGTGATAATGCCTCTGTGATAACAAACACATTTAAGAAGAAAGATAAACAAAAAGTTGTTGCTCAGTTTTAATTCCAGCCAGAGGAGAGCAGCGTGAGAACATGTGAGAGGAAAACTATGCAGACGACAAGGTCAGTGGAGAAGGAGAGTGAGGAGGTGCACCAGGTGCTGGAGTTGAAATTTGTTTGCAGGCTGTGGTGAGGACCATGGTGAGGCAGCTGTGTCCCTACAGCCCATGGAGGTCCTGGGGATGTAGAGATCTACCTGCATCCCATGCAGGAGCCCCCACAGAAGTAGGTGGATGTCTGTGAGGAAGCTGTGATCCTGTGGGAGACCTGTGGAAAGAGGGCCTTGCTCCTGTGCTGGAGCAGCCTGTCCTTGAGGCTGAGTGGAAGAGTGACCTGTGCTGCAGCAATCTGGGGAGGACAACTGCCCCTGGGACTGTCCCTGTGGGCTCACACTGCAGCAGGGAGCTGCTGCTCATGAGATGGAGCCAGATCAGAGAAGTTCACAGAGAAGTGTCTCCTGTGGGAGGGGACCAGTGGTGCAGCAATGGAGTGACTCCTCTTCCTGAGCAGCGGGAGAAGCCACGGGAGGTGAACTGATCATGACCCCCACTCCATGTCTCCTTGCCTTGCTGGGGTAAGAGGTAGAGCTGAGAAGGAGGGAGGGGTGGAGGGAAGGTGGTTTCAAGGGGCTTGTTTTACTTCTCCTTATCCTGCTCTGATTTTTTTTATTAGTAATAAATTCACTTAATATCCCTGAGTTGATCCTCTTTTGCCAATGATTGTATTTGATGAGGGGTCTCTCCTGATTCTTATCTCAACCCTGAACTCTTTGTTGTATTTTCTCTCCTCTGTCCAGCTGCAGGGGGAAGTTAATGAGTGGCTTTCACTGGTGCCTGGCATCATTACACCTCCCAAGATAATTATATTTGAGAATTATATATAGTTATATAAGCATATAACTTGCTTAGTATGCCTCCAAATCCTGCATGTAAGTAATCTGTGAAGACATTGAAGAGCACCAGGCCTGGAATGGAGCCCTGTAGAACCCCACTAATGACAGATCACCAGCGTGATGTCTCCCCATTCACTGTCACTGATTGTGCCCAACCCATTAGCCAGGTGCTGTATTTGTGATGATGTGTTTATTCAGCTTTGTCCAGGACACCAAGGAAGACAGCATTGATGACTACTGAAATCCAGAAAGATGATTACATCAACTGACTT